ATAGGTGTCTGTTATGTAAATATAACACTTATTTAACTTCAATTTTGCTGGGTATTAATAACTTTATTCATGCATTTAAGAATGGATTAAAATAGTAAACTTTAGAGGGAGGGAGTGCTGGCCACCACTCTTAGTAAGGCAAACAAGACGTTTAATCATATATCAGTCAATCAAGAGGGCTGTATTTTAGTCATTTAAGAAAGTGCCTCAAAACAACATGTACTTTCTATTAGGGCAACAAAGCCCCCTAGTGGCTGTGGTAGTTATGACAGGAGCAAAAGAAGACGTAAGGTGATGATATTATTGGGCTGTTCCTGACTAAGACGCAACTTTTAGTTCACTTATTTCAACAATACAGTACCATTGTTCAAAACATGGAATAAATAACTTCCAACTTTAAATAAATAAATAAATAAAATACTCAAAGACTTATCGATACAATGTATAATGTAGCCGCTGTCATTCAACCTGTGTCCTCACCTCACATACACTGTCAACGCTTAGCAGTAACTATGATAAAGGTCCTTGTTGCAACAAACCTCTGATACTTTCGTCCGGTCACAAGGGTGCTTTTATTTTTGTGTTTGTTTCTGCGAATATCCGACTAAATAAAAAACCATATACTGTCAATGGTCTACCTATTATATCGTTTAATTTACACTTTGAAGCCAATTCCACATAGTGGCTGAACTGTGTAATTACAGCAATGGTGTCCGTCACGTGATGCACACTGGCCCAAAAACACTTGAAAAAATAGCATTTTGACCCACCAATATTAACAACAATAACAAAAATAAAAAAGAGAACAAAAAACAATACATATAAAATATAAGATTGTAATATAAAATTTAAGACGAGGCCCAAAAAGATTAAATTATTTATCCCCAATCAAGTTAATAGATTAGCCCCATATTTTGCTGATAATTTAATTTGGTTTAATCTCTCTCTCTACTGCAGTCTGTACATTATTGTGATGCCACCTACTACCCCCTAGCAAGATTAAAGTCCTGATTTTTATGGAAAATTGACTTGGGCACTTGTGAGCTATGTGAAATTGCCATCATATTTACATAACAAGGTTGCATTGCATGGCTGTAGCTAATGCTGATTTGGGTTAAGTTAGTGGTTGGGAGACCTTCCACCGGGGCACAAGACAAATCTAAAGGGTTGTGAGATGATTAACTGGATAAGAACAAAGTAATTTAACAAACCTATATTTATTTTTTGGACTATTTTGGACGGTTTTACCTCTTCGAGCCTTCTAAGATAAACCTCAGTGGCCACATGTAGAATTCGGCAACTAAAGCAGTGAATAGTAAGCTACAGCCAAGAAAAAATAATGGCTGCATACTGTAAGACGGATCCAAAAAGCAGTCCAGGATGATTTGTGCAGGAAAGTGTCCAGATTCATCTCCCTCTCTATTGGCTGTCGCTGCTTTGGTGTGGACAAGAATCAATGTCCATCCTGACTTTGGCATAAAAGAGAGAGTTAAGTACTGAATACTGAACCTCAGGAGGGGAGATGGGGCCTGAAGTTGCACTGTAGCTGCATCAGTTTAGTCCTCGTCCTTTCTTCTTTATTCTTCCTCCTGAGGTCTTCAGTCAGAGAAAGACTGTCTCTTGCGGTTATTTTTTTGTCTTTCACCAGTTTGTATATCTTACCTCAATGCCATATCCCCAGGCACCGCAACACAGAAGAGTTCACTGTCCACAGCTGATTGATAAAACATGTAGCGCAGTCTGTTGCACTCATTGTTATATCTGAGCCTTCTAGCAATCTACTCTATCTCTATCTGCTTGTGTTCAGGGCCTCTGTGCTGTTCGACCAGCCAGGTTGTTGTCAATGCTGTATATTCTCTGCTAACCCTCGTGAGCTTCCTGTTCCTTTGGAAATCCTCTGCAAAGATGGCTCCTCTTGCTCCACCAAGCCCTCATGATTGCAACCCATAGAAGGGGATTAATACTAGCGAATTCTCCAAGCTTGAAGAAATGTGCGCCTCTGGCTTCAGAACAGGGAACGGAACTGTTTCGCATGGGGTTGCTATGCAAACGGCTGAGCCTTTAGGCTACAGCATGGGTGCAACATGGCTTTCCTGAACATCACAGGCCTTAGTGCACTGAAAAAAAAACTCCTTAGGGACTCTGTAGGTTCCAGAGACCAAGGGAGCTACAGTGAGCTAATCCGCTGAGAAGACAGACACTTTGCACGTCCACCACCTTGTTCTCCCACAACTTGTGCTTCACATATCGACTGAAATATGCAGAAAAAAAGAGAAGCACACCTTTTTAATCACCTGCCCAATGATGTAGGTGGCATTTAAGTGTCCTTTCCATTTCTGTCACCATCAGACGGGCTCTCTTTGATGCCACAAGCTTAGCTTAAAGTTTCCCTGGACCACAGGACAACTGCTGACCTCGGAGTAAATGCCTGTTTGCTATTGTAGTAGACTACAAACGTCCAAACTGTTTGTAAGGAAGATGATAAAGGTACTGCAAAGAAAGAAAAATGAAACCTGCAATAATAGATTTTCTTCGGGGCAGCTATAAACACACCGTTTGTCTACTGGAAAGTCTACTTTGTTTATTTGCTAATTGGGTACGTACTGTACTGTTGGGTCATCAGATTTGCCTGCTGAAATAAAAAAGTCTGAAAATTATGCTGATGAAAAATAACAAAAAAACACTGAATCTGCCAGCTGTTAAAACCAAAACAATGAGTTTAAAGACACTACAACACACATAACCCGTAGTATTTGAATCTTTGTTAACATAAAAATATACATTATAGGAGCTTTAAGTAAAATATGTGCTATTAGAAAGATGGACGGGTTTAAGACCACATTATGAACACTTAGAAAAAAGTATACAATAGTGCATGTAGTGCTGTAACAGATGTCCCCCAACCTTGTAATACCATATTGGACAAACTCATTAGTTTCATTAAGTCTTAGTTTCCTCTGACTACTTTATATATTTTATGTGGACCAAATGGTGTTTCTACAAATCAGAATGTGTCTCCTTCAGGCTCAGCTTAGGGCATGTCTAAATGTGAGAGTCTTTAGGGATCAGCAGATTGAGTCTCCTTGAGGCAAAAAAAAGTTCACTTTAAAGTGACTCCCTCAGGGTGTGGCTCCTCTCAGGATGCACAGCAAAGCGCTCCGCAGCCCTTACCGTCTCTGCACCACATGGCAAGTGTCGTGTCGCTGTAATAATAGGTTGTGCCTCATTGAGCAGGCTTATTGGATCTTCCTCAGAAGTAAGGTAAGTGGTGTGCTAAATTGAATGCAATTCATAGTTTTTGGGCGGAGGGCTGCTCTGCTATTACATTAGGTGAGAAAGAATTACATAGGCAGAGACAATATTGCAGCTGTTCAACCGTTACAGGACGCTCGTGGCCTTAGTGAAATCACATTTCAATCACTTCAGCGGTCTCAGGTGACTCGCTGTAAATGAGGACAAATGAGAAAATTAAAATGACATCCTTCGATTTTTGGGCCACAGAGCCGAAAGCCATCGCTAATTGAAATTTTCAATCACATTAAAAAATCACGTCGCCAGTTGTAGCAGAAAGAGTAGACCTGCTATAAGTGTGCCAACAACTTATCTGAGTCAGTGGAGCTGAACCTGTCAAAGCTGACAACTGTGTTCTGATACTACACGTATTCAACCTGAATTTCCAGCTCAGTTCCTGCACATCATCGGGAGCTGTTTCAGAATCATTTACTTGATTAACACTGTAAACAAGCTCTGGGTCAACTTCACGTTATAGCAGTCTAGTAACAAGGTCGACAACACTTTAGTGATAAACTGACATCATGAGGTTATTATAATGTATGTGCTTTCATATTTAGTAACAGCACTATTTAGTTGCTTGAAGAAAACAGTTTCAAGTTAACAAATCATTATTAATTAATACAAGATTAACAATGTGACACTGATTCCTATTTTCTGTTGCATTCCTCAAGGATGCTAAGCTGCTCCTTCAGCACCTGCAGACTTGCTCCAGAAAGCAATTAATGAGTGATGTTCAACAGCAAAACGTCTGTAGGCAGAAAGAAAGTTGATCTCTGATGCATGCTAATCTGTTGACACTGTGTGAAGTGCGCTTGGAATTTTTTTTTGCATAGCTTCCATTAAATATCCGTAGTAAAGACCAGCGAGGTTTGGAAGCTTTGGTTTGTATTCAATGAGATAAATGCTGATAGTTACTTGGAAATAAGACTGTTTTACTGAGCTATGTCACAGTAAGAGGATTATGCTGCACAAGAAGCAGTGTTCTATGCAACTTTAAGCTATTCAAAACTGTTTGGAACTTCATTCCTGTGCATTTTCAGACTTATAAGATAGTAAGACCTCAACAAGTTTCGACTGTAGAGATACAAGGATGCTGCATGTTTTTGAAAATTAGATTAGGGTTTAGCACTTTGTCAATTTCAGTACTTAGAGAAAAGGGTAGAGCTGAGGTGAGACAGAGCAGAGGTGAGAGACCTGTAGGTCAAGCATACCTGCCATGAAACAAACCCCAAGCTTAAGAGTCATCTTTGTGAAACGAAAATCCCTACCAAGAGGACAGAATTACAAGAAAGTAGTGCAAGTGGCTTCCGGGACTCTAACTTTAGAGCCCTAACAATGTTTTCTGTAAGAATTTCCTGCAGACAGCTCCAAATGGCCATTACGAAACAGTTTGTTACCGTGCTCTTCAAGGCGAAATAAACAACTTTCCATATCAAGATCAGTTTGCTAGTTTTGCACAGTTTTTAGGGTTATTTAGGGCTCATTCAGGGCTTGGAAACCTTAATAACAGAAACCCTGTGCTACAAACTATGGGTGTAGAGTTTGACTGGATAAAGCGTATGAACCTGTTGGATATTTTGATATTATAAATCTATTTAAAATCTGTCTTCATGGATCATACAGTTGTAAATAGCTGGCGCATCCCTTTTCAAGTGCCGCGCTGTCTGACTGCAGATCTTCATGTAACGACTCAAAATGTAACTCACCGTTGACCACCACAGCGATGTCCACAAAATCGATCTCGCCGCGAGCCTCGACGCTGGCCTCGCAGCGGTACACGCCCTCGTCAGCCTTGGTCACCTGATGGATCTGGAGGTTGTTGTTTGCCAGCACCTGGAACCTGCCTTTACAGCACGGACAAAGAGAAGGATGGACAGAAATCCAAGACAGAGAGAGAGAGAGAGAGACAGAGAGAGAGAGAGATAGAGAGCGGGAAGAGGAAACGACAAAAGAACAACAGTGTATGATAGAGAGAGAAGCGAGATAAGAAAGTTAGCAAAACAGCAGAAGAAAATTGCCATCTCCACTCTTCAGTAGCCAGACTGTCAATCTTGACTTCAGCACATTTACCTGATAAAGTCCACACAGATAAACACCAACGCAATTACAGTTCCAAATAGTCTCCACTCTCTCTCCCATTGTGGCCACTGTGAGATTGGCCAGGAGTGATGAGGCAAATATCTCATTTCTCTCAAGCTAATATATTTATACCCATGCATCGAAATTAGAGAGAAATTATAAAAAATATAAAATAAACGTTTCCATGTTTCATCACCACCGTGACACTGAAGATTTGAATTTCAATTAAAAAACGTGACAGATTCAAGGGGTCACTCTTTCTAATCAGTGTTCAGGCATGCATTTTGTCTAGAAGGAGGATGGGGAAGTGGTGTAGAGAGTTGTAAATCAGGGAGGAGGAGAGGAGGAGAGGAGAAATAATGAATCCTACTCCACTGGTTCCGACTATTGAACCTGCCTTCTATCACAAAATAATATTACTGAAAGTGAATTTGTCCTCTGAGTGCTTCTCTGCCTCAATCTGTCTTTTTTAGCAAATTAACTAGACCATCCTCCCAATATTTTACACCATTAAAGTGACTGAGATTAGAGGGAAGAGCTTATAAAATGATATAGATCAGCTTTAGATCAAACGGGACAGAATATGATTGACAATGTGATCGTGAATTATTGTAGTTTGCTGGAAATAGCTCTTTTCAAAAGATGCAGGGTGCATTTTATCTTCATGAGAAGCAGCATCTCTTCCAGTGTCACCAATCTGAACGCACTATAATCCATTCTCCCAGTCGCTGGTTAACAGGGTCTCTGGCCAAGGTATACGCCTACCCGGGGCTGATGGGGTTTCTATTCATAGAATTTGATATCCTTGTCGTATTGTGAATCCACACAAAAGAAGGAAATAGCATTTCTTCGAGAACAGTATTTTTGGCACATTAGCACGCCTTCTCAATGAGAGAGAGAATTGTACTCATGAGCATTTCTCTTTCAATAATCAAGTGTATTTGGCAGGTTTACACTCATACTCTAATCTTTTTGAGATGGCTGCTTACTTGCAATTTTTATTACCATCATAATCTTCTGGAATAATCAAGAATAATCACAGTTTAATAATGCGGAAAAGTGTTGCTTTGAGTTACTTTTTCCAACACTTACACTACTAATTATATTACTCTTTAAAGCCTCTGGAAATGTGGTTTTCAGGCTTGTTTTTTCTCTCCATAACATTAAATATTTATTACTAAATAAATAACCTTAAAAACTTGCTTCGTTAAGACTGTGCAGGTCTCCTATAGTACATGATATGTTCCTAAATCCTGATTGGTGCACAGAATATCACCTTTTTCCATCCACTTCAAACCAGTGAGCAGGACAAAAACACATACAGAAATCTCTCATGTGAAATAAGATTAAAAACACCTGAATGACCCCAAGTATCCGCACAGAAAAAAAATACAAACATAACAGTTTCATCAATTTGATAACTAAGGATTCCCTGCTGCCCACTTTTAACTTTGATTATTGCTTTTTAAGTCGTTAATGTTTAACACTACAATGACATACTGCAGTTTTCAGGGGCTTTAATCAAAATTTTAGACTTGCTCTGAGAATAAAAACTGTATTACCCACAAACTCCATCTCATCTATTTTATCCACAATTTTTCCCATTCATTTGCTTTAAAAGGTACCATTTGGATTTTTTTTTATAAATAAACAAATTACAATCGCAGAGAACCGATAAACATACATTTCCTCATAAACCTTTTGTAAATGGTTTTGTAAATCTGAAAACCTGCATTGTTATAAATGACATGTTTGCTTGCTAGCACTGTCTTTGTTTGCACACTGCTACTTGTTTCTTGGCACCGCAACCAACTTTCAATCAGCGGGATGGTGTGAAACCAGCGGCCGGACAATGTATCATGAAACATTATATACACACGGACATACATCCTCATGCATGACACACTAACTATCATTGCTTCAAAATATCCACAGGGTACTTTTAATTTTATAGTTGTCCTACTTAGTTACTAACTGTATTACAAAAGTCAGTCTTCGAAAAAAGCAATTATAACAGTATTAGAGATAAGCAGAAATAATAATGATAATAATAGTAATTAAAAACACAATCACATTATCAGAAAGTTGATTATTTGATTCTAATTTAGACGGATTTTCTTCCCTGAGAATGATCTTGCAGCTTCATCTATTCTAAACCACTTCAGGTTCATGTGTCCTTTTGAACCTGTTTTGAGTAACTCAACCAAAGTATGTGTATATCTATACAAATTATCTTCCAATGTATCTCTCCTTCTATTCACCTCCTAAAATAAAATAAAATATATATATATATAAATATATAAAATAATAACAGTAGTCAAAGGAAAGTACATTCTTTCATGGTGAAATAAGACAATGAAAACTTACTGTGGTGCTCCTCCGTGATCTCTTTGTCCTGGTAGTACCACACCACCACGGGCACCGGTGAACTAATGACATCACACACCACCTCCGCCGTCTCACCGTGGCGGAACTCCTGCGGTGACTGAACATCCCGAAACGTCAGCCTCTCTGAGAGATCAAATAAGATGGAGATGGAACAGCTTTCAGAAGACAATTTATTGCAGGCCTGCACATCAAAAGGAAAATGAGAAACTGCCTGTTAACTATAACTGTTATAACTGTTTGAGACACAGTTTAGGGTGGAAGGTTTGGAAAAATTGCTTTAAAATAAATGTTCTTCCTGTTTTCTGTCTAAGTGGCATCCTGTAAATTAAGTGGTTGCTGTTTTAAGCTACTTTTTTGTTTTTATTGATAGTGCAGGTTTAGGTTTTATGGTGGCCTCTATTTGGCCACCTGGCAGCATGCATTGCTGTCCTGAACATAAACAGTGCCTGCAAAAGGGAAAATGCTCACCTGGACACAATACAGAATATTGGTTTTGGTAGCACTTAAGGTTTCTGGTATTTTATCTTACCCTGCTCCTAATCTTTTATTTTGAAAGATTTTATTTTATTTTTTATAAAAATATTTATATATATATTTTATTTTGTTAATATTCAATGCCAACTGTTTCTTATCAGGTGTAGCTCGACTGGTAATCAGAACAGGAGTCTACTGTGAGAGCTTGTGGCTCTGTGAGTGCTTAGAACTAAATGCTAACATTAGCATGCTAACATGCTCACAGTGACAATGCTAAAATGCTAATGCTTAGCAGGTATTATGTCTGCCATATTCACAATCTTAGTTCAGTGTGTTAGCATGCTAACATTTGCTAATTAGCACAAAAAGGTACAGCTGATTGTGATGGGAATGTCATGTTCTTTTTGCAGGTATTTGGTCATGAAACAAAATGTTTTCAACAGATTTTGACCAGAAAAGGGCTTTAGATTAAAAGTTAAAGAATCCATAAACACCACAAATCATCCATGAATGTCTGCGCCAAATTTCATGGCAATCCATCCAATAGTTTTGGAGATATTTCAGTCTGGAAAAAGCAAAGCGGTGGATTGACACAATGATGGACAGGGCAACGTTGCCATCCATAAAACCATGCAGCTAGAGCGGGCAGAAACTACATTACCAAGCACAGCTGTCTTCTGACGTAATGTCTCATATTACAAGCGTAAAGTATAGGGAGACAGGCACAGGAGACACAATGAGTGCACTGGAAATGGAGGGATAGCAAACACTCACAAAATCAAATAAAACAAAAGCTAAATCCTGCTTTGACTGTTTTCTGGGACACAGATAAGGCGATTCTGGTGAAGCAGGACATGAGACAGAAGGGTGGCCGTTTCACTTGCTGCCAATCACAACCATGACAAGAACAATCATTGAGCAGATATTCTGCAGCCTCTCTGTTTGCAGAATTAGACAAGAACACAGGGAGCCTTTGATTCACTATCTCACTTTCAGGAAAGCTTAAATAATACATCCCACTCTGTGCCAGTTTGAAGCTGTGTCCTCCCTCTTGACAAACATTTGCTGTTTTGACAAATTGCTTTTATGAGGACACTGTTCTTGGACCAGCACTTCTCCTCAAACAGCATGTGATCCTTCTTCGAACCCCCGCTTTTGTTCGGATAGCCGGCTTTGATGTGCGCCGGGGCTGGCACCGCTAGCGCTGCAACCACCTGCTATCATCTGCGTGCTGTACTGCAAAGGTGTGAATAAATCAACGACAGCTCCCCTATCAGTCCCTTCCGTTAGTGAGGCTTCGGCATTAGCATTTTGCTGTGAGATTTATGCCAGGCTGCTCCCTAAAATGAGCTTTCTCTCCCCGACTGCACCCTCCGCCTGCGAACGTGCCTGGCATCTCAGTGTCTTCATTAACTTCAAAGATGCCTTTGCATGTTTTTGCCATTCACTCAGTTGGTTTCTTATCAATTTCGCCCGTGTTCTTCTTTTTATTTCCAAAATCTATTGCTCTTTTACTCCCTCCTCTCACACTCTCTCTTTGGTTTGAGCATTTCTTGTGTCACTTGTTTCCTTCTGTTAGTCTCCATTTCCTCTCTTTTGTTGTCATGCTGCTCAACAAGAGAATCAGTAAGGGAAACATCCTCTCCAGAGTAACACTCTACTGCACACTTGACACTGGCAAATTGAGGATATACTCAGTACTCCAGAGCTTCTCTTGCGCCGTTCACCTACACATCACTGCGAGGATAACTGCCTGATAAGTTGACTATCCAATTTCCCTGGACCTCTCTCAACCGGGACACAGATTTGTCCGTGTCTTTACTAGCCAATTTCACTGGTTTTGGGAAATGGGCTTATGCAGCATTATTGCTTTGTACATTAATAAACAGAGGAGATGAGAGGAGCTGGCTCCAACCTTGTGCTGGCCTATTTTATTATGAATTTCCTTATATCACCTTATGTGCCTGCAAAAGCACCAAATTTCTGCAGTTTATTCAAAGCAATTTTGCTCTCAGTAAACTTCAGTTTGCAGTCAGATAACTTAATATTGAGATTGTCATCGTCCATGTGGGACAGCGAGAGTTACATGCTTATCCTTAAACACAAAGTATAATTGAGGCTGTGAATGCCATTAGTTTTGTAAGAACTGGTCATGAACCAAAGTATTGGACAGTGTAAAGATTTGACCTGATGGTGGTGCTAGATGAAAAGTTAAGGTTATTACAGTTCATCTTGAGCGGGGACATGAATGTCTGTACAATTTTATAGAAATCCATCTGATAGATGGAGAGACATTTTACTGAAAACAATAAATGTGAACCCTATGTCGGTCTATTTATAAAATTTCACAACAATCCATCCAGTAGTTATCAAGATATTTCACTAAAAGCCAGAAATTAAAAAAGTTAGGGGATCACCAAAGTCAGTATGAATAATCCTTTCAGGTCCATGACTGTTTGTATGGATGGAAATCCATCCAACATATATTTCAGTCAAGACCAAAGTGGTGGATCAACTGACAGACCTGACAATCCCTAGAGCAACTAGCATGGCTATTAAACCAGCAGGGAAGCCAGCAAGCAGCTTCTTTTAATGCTTTTATGAAGACCAGGCACCTGTTTTGGATTCAAAACAGACCTGCCACTCCATGTAGCATGATTATAACCAGCCATCATGGAGATGTCAGCAACTACTGAGAGGATGTCAACACTTTCCTTCCCACAGGTCATGAATTTCATGTACAACATGTTGTAGCACACAGACCCATGCACCACCTCGGAGTCCTCGCCTGCTCCGGCTGTGCGCTGGCAGAACGGCTGGCTAGAGCTTTAGGCAGTTTATTTTTTTTTTTATCCGCATGCTGCTCATGCAATCTACACCGAGGGCCCGAGTGAGTGACGCCCAGTTGCCATGGAAACAATGGTTTTAGGGAGCTGGTTATGTGGTGAATGAGGCGAAGGCTGAGTGGTGGCAGGTGTGATTGAGGCTATGATGTCTTCCCTAATGGCTCACTGGGCGAGGATGAAAAAGGCAACCACACAGCGGGTGATGATTTCCAGAGTGTGTGCACATATAATTGTGTGTGTGTGTGTGTCTCCTGGAATCAAAACCCTGTACCTTGACGTTTTCTCCAATTAAACTTGGGGAAGACTCCTGATCAAAGTGCTGGAGTGTGTGGGTATTTGGGTTATTCGGTTCTTATGTAATATTTTCACATGAATTATAATATTATTCCAATGCTCCTCTGTGAACAGAAGCTGTTAAAGGTATCGGGAGATATACCTTTTGTCCATAAACATAGCCCTAGGAAGGATTGTAGATGCTAATACTACCACTATAACTGTGCTAAAGCAAATACACTGTAATGCCTATAGAGAATTTGACTTTTTACAGCTTTTGTTAGAATCCCTCCTTCCTTACATACTATTACTAAGTAACTTGAGTCTAGCGAGACACCTATTCACCTTCAAGTCACCAAAACCAAAACTTTTTTCATGTGTTAGTGTCCAAATTATATTTTTCATCTGATTCCAGTGCAAGAATAACGTCTTTACATAGAATCAAAAAGTATAACATTGATTTGATTACTACACAGAACATTCTCGTCCATTTTGTTGCAGTCAATTCAGTTCAATACAACTTAATTTATCCCTATCTTTATTTAGAAATTGCAGTGGTAGCAGCCCAAAGCCTCATACTCAACTCATATCCAGTTTCAAACTGGTGTTTTGGGGCAGAATAACTAGTCAAAGGCTACGGTGATCTTATGTAGGGGTGATTGCTGAGAATAAGTGAATAAATATCACTGCTTTCACAAGGTTGCCCCCAATAGTAGCTACGATTCTGGCCCCACATTGGCTAATTCTTGTCCTCAGTAAATCACAGGAACGAGCTAGTAGGATTTAAGTTGGAACTTGCTCAAGGACACACTAACAGGTCAAATTGTGGTTAATTCATTGCTTACCGTGAGGATGGATCCTGCGATGGGACAGTCCCTGTAACCACTGAGCCACTCCCTGCCTCGTAACATTAAATTTTGCCCAAGAAATAGTGATGGGTCAGCACGGCAGGTTAGCCTCAGTGCCACATCCCTCATTATGCCTGGCAGGATCCCAGTCCCATGGCATTACTAGCTGTCATTATACTTTAATCACAAGAATGAGTGTAACACACACTCTCACACACGAACGCACAGGCACACAGATAGAGCTACCATTTATAAAAGCTTGTGGCTGTGGTGAGGCTTGGAATATGAATAGGCTGGCTATCCCTGTGATCAAAGACTAATGTGAGAGGTTTATTCTCTTCATGTCTCCGTGTCTAAATCTCCTCAGGAGGCAAACACAGAGCATCTGCAGGTAAATGTGCAAATGTGCATGAGAGTGCACGTTATCTGTCAAGCTTACGGTAGATCTCCAGCACCACTGAGGCCTCCTCGGTGTGACCGCTGGCGTCGGTGGCCTGGCAGCGGTAGATACCCGCGTCCTCGATGATGGCGTTGTAAATGATGAGCCTGGATCGTGACGTCTCCGTGTGGAGTGCCATTCGCCTGGACGACACGATGCGCTCGCCCTGGGGGTTGTACCACTCCAGCCTCACTGGCTCGCCGATAGCTAGTAGCAAGGTCAGAGAAGGAGAGATCAAAAAAAGTGATTATGATGAGTAAAAATTTGACTCTCTTGTACCAGGCGAGGCAGGATTGTATCAATTGGATTGTTTTCCTTTTAATGTCACTCACACCTGGGATTTATCCCGACAGGCTGTTGACATTTAAATACCCAAGGACATTTATTACTTCCTCTTCCTTCGTGTTGAATTCCAGCAGCTTTATGTATTTTCCAAATTAGTCCAATAAGTCCAACTGATAACCTTCCAGTCCCAAGACTATATCTGAAAATACTGGATGGCCCACGAGTGACATTCACTTGGCATAAAGTCAGTCAGCTTAAAAGACACTTAGCCTGAAGTGACAATGCAGTTTGATGACAGCTAGTCGGTTTGCCTGTTTGTGTTCTGTTTCAATTATTTTAGTTTCTGCTGACTGAGTTTTTAAGGCTGGATCAGATCCTGGCAGCGTACCCTGCAAGAGGGTATCTGAGGCTGCTTAATCAACAAAGCTGTGCTTAACCACTTCTTTAAGCCATTTTGACAATGCTCTTGGCAAAACAATCACTACAGAGTCAGCGTTAGGTTGCATAGGATGCTGGGAGCCCCAAGAGCAAGTCCAGCTTTGAAAAACATTCTTGGCATCGGCACCTGATTAAACAGATCTGGAAAGACATTGAAAAAAGACAACAGGTTACCTCTTTCTGAGCTCCATTTCATATTAAATCAGACTGATATTGTGGAGGAATTTGTAGAAACAATTGGTTACTGATACTTGATGTATTTCACAAAGGTTTTACATGTCAGTACTAAAGCATTGCTGCTCATTTTGGTCCACTGAACAGCTGAGGACCATCCAAAGTTGTTACTGGAACTTGTCGAGGGAACAGACGGCCTGAAGTTATATGATTATGTCATAATCTTGGATTTACATAGCTAATAAGTCTGCTATGGGAACAGGGACATATGTAGGCTGTAAATTCCACTCTTATTTCCAAGTGTCTGCATGAATAGAAACGCACACAGAGACAGTAAACACAGAAACAAATAGTAGGCCTGATAAACAGCTAACTTGAACCCAGATTAAAATGGAGTCCACATGTAGCCTCGAAACATGAAGTGATCTGGCCACTGTAGGAGATGATAGGGCCATCTGCAAGCAGAAGGTACCCTTTGCCTGTAAATTCTGCACATTAAAGTGTCAGTGTAGATGGCCATTATTCGGCCCATAAATCAACCAGAGCCTTGAACAAGAGAGGAGATGGACATAAGCTTGTCTAGTCCCCCAGAGACAGGTGACTGAAGCAAAAAATAGAAGTAACACAAGTTGGAGACACGTTTTGTGTTTAGGAAAATGGACAGTAGTTGGTGGCAAGAGATAACCCGAGAGAGAGAGAGAGCAGGAAGCAGGCAGTTTCAATGCTCTCTTTCCCCTTCAGTGACTATTAGCAAGATGCCCTTGAGCAAAGTTTTTAACCTCCAGCTGCTCAGCAGCCAGCAGCAGAGGGTTGGGATGATTTATCTCAAGAGCTCCAAGGTGTTACTGTCAGGGTATGGCTCGATGTGGGCCAGGATTTTGCCAGACACATATTTGTCTAGCATGTGCGATCATGTAAAGAGCTTAAGACATCAATAATAATCTCTTATATCTCCACAGCGCTCTGGTACAAAAAGCTAAATTATGATAAATTAGCTGTTTTACAAATGTGCCTCTTGAGGCCTGCACTTTGCATCATAGAAAAACATGCAGGCTCCAACTCACGCCCCATGCTAACACTGGCCCTCATCACAACACTTCCAACAACTATCAGCATCTCACTCTTGGCATGTGTGTCTGCTGCTCGTTAGTTTCAAGGCCAACAATTCTGATGGGGCAATCAAAGGCGAGCATTGCTAAAATCATATTACAGAACAAGCCATTCTCGTTATGTCTCTGCTTTCCTTCACACGTGGCTTACCATGTGGCTTCCCACCGGAGCCTCATGGTTCACGTGGGTACTTGTGGGGAAGAGATAAGTGTCTAGCATCGTTACAGGCGTCCCTTCATACCTGTTAGCATTGCAACGTTATCACCTCTTACCATTTTCTGTTGACAGCAGAGACAGTTAAATGTGTTAAAGTCGATACAGCTAGCATGGTGACAGGCCATTTGCTTCATTGATGATCTGAGAAGACAGGAGTGTGTAACATGCTTCTGTGTGTCTTTACAACTGTATAAATAGTTGGTTGAAATTTGTCAAACCGCTCTTAAAATCTGCATAATCTCTGGGAATCTTGGGGAGAGAAAATGCTGTATGACGGACACTTCTGAAGGTACAGTGGAAAGATAATGATGATCACTTTTCTAAGTGTTAGGAAAATGTTAACACAGCAGCACGCTGATTGATCGTCGGCTTTCGTTAGCTGCTGATGAAACTGACAGCCCCACTCTGTTCCGGCTTGATTTTGACTTGCACACGGAAATGAAAGTCTAAATAAAGACCAGGGCAAGCAACAAAGCTTTATATCAGGAAGGTCTTTCAGACAAAGTGTATGATCCTCCTTAGCAGCGAGGGAACAATATAAAGCAACTGAAATACTGAAGCGATCTACGCCTCCCGCACAAGCCAGATTATTGACTCGACGTGCCCCATGGCGCCAAAATTAGCCTAGTGCAAGCCGAAAAACTCCCACGTCCCCGCGGTGGCTGGCACTGGAGCCATAGTAGTAATTGATTCATGTCTCTGGGGAAGAAGATAGCAGGAGAGAAACAAGAGCTGAGCAAGAATGGAATCACACTGGTCTATGCGTGTAGCTCAACATGATGTCAAAATTATCAGCTACATATCTTTGTCTCTCTTTCCATCTGTCTACTCTGTCTGGCCAACGGATAAATGTAGGTCCACTGGGTCACCTACCTACCTCCAGTTGTCCCAAGAAAACCACGTGGAAACATAATAGCTGTTGGATCTGGTTGGACTACTGAGGCTGCCTTTGTTGTCGCCTCTGTTTTATTTCACAGTCAACACTTGTTCTGGCTCTCCGCCACCTCAGTCATAGGGGAGGTTAAACACACACCTGAACACCAGTTTATAAACCTCCTTATTAGTTACCACATGAGCTCAGGCTCAATTAACCCTGACATGAGACATATTTCATATCAGAAAAGGCTCTTTCTCTGTTGGTTTTGGTTTGTGTTGTTTTCTAACAAAAGGTCTAATTAGCCATTTTTTCCATTTTAACCATTAACTGTGAATATGTACCTTGGCAGGATTTGAAGAAAATACATTTCATGAATCTACAGTATTGATTTCCATTTACTGAATAATAGTAGAAATACATTTAGTATGAGTGGAGAAGCCTGACAAATGTGGGCGCTTCCATACAGTGCACCAGGGGTCACTGAATGGTTTGATGAGTGTGAAAATGATATCAATATCATATCAGATACCAGAGAGACAATGAAATACCATCCAGGAGGGTCGGTTTGTGTAATAACTCTATAGGTCTGGAGGCTTATGAGATCTAATATTATGAGGGAGGATTTTACAACTCTACAAAGTTATCATGGCGACTTTCATGAAATCCTTTGTTGTATTTTCATGCAATGCTATTGTTGATGTGAACATGGCCTTATGCCATGTGCACCTCCTCACGCAATGCCAGATTGTCGGAGACCTGGAGTCATTCCAGTGGAGGGTGAATCAGATTGGATCTGTATTGAAACTGGATATGAAGAATTTGGGCTTTATTTAGGTAAAATAAAACAGTCTTAACTTATTTTACACAGCAAAAAGCATGTCATGTTAATGATGAATGAGCTATTTCCCTCCAAAATGTATCTTTATCAGGGGAATTATTGTGGCTGATCACATAAATACTTGACATTTGCCGTTATTTGCTCATTTCTCTAATCACAAGAACCAGACAACGCCAACCAAGCTTCACATTTGGTTCTGACTCTTGGAGAGCTTTTCCTTCATGTTGTTTTGGCAGTTCCTTTCTATCTAATCAAAGAGCTCCACTGCGCTGTTTCAACAAAGAGAACAGTCCAAGTAGAGGTGTGCTTGTGGCTTTAGACGGTAGACTCCACCACCATCATTCCAACATCAAACAAGAGAATATTTTTTGGGATAATGGTGCTCACCCATGGAGCTTCAGAAACTTGAAAGATCTGTGCCAAGGAGCAATAAAGCTGTTTTGGAGGCCTGTGGTGGTTCAACACCTTTTTGCACAATTAGTATTAGTAACACTGGTTGCGGGTACTGTACTGCTTGTCCTATCATTTAGAGTTTAATTGCTCTTGTACAGCTTGTCTTTTAATTTCTATTCATATTTTGATTTTATATACTTCTAATTATTTATTATTTTTGACTTTTATAGGTGTTTCTGTACATATTTCTGTCCTTAAGCGGCAGCAACATCTGGATTTCCTCTTTGAGGATTAATAAAGACTTATCTTATCTTATAGGACACACAGGCTTCTTGTATTCATCATCCATCTGTACATGGCTACACTATCTATAATAATGCAGCCAACAGTATAGATGAAACATAATGGTTAGCTTCATCTGAACAAAAAACAGCCCACCAAGTGCACTCTCAGCTTACCTATATAGCATATGGTGTTGTGGATATGTATGTGTACTGCAGAAGTAATTGCTTAAATCTCTCATTGTATACATTCATCATAGAGATGCCTCTTGGTCACAACTATGATGAAAACAAACAAACAAGGAACTACTTCACCAGTGACACAAACACAAACACAGGTTTTCTCTCCCTCTCGCGGACCACTTAGTGGTGACTATTTTCAAAAGACAATCTCTCCAGCCGTCCCCTCCCTCGTGCTCTGCAGCTCCGTTCACCTGTTTTTCCTCTCTGCCTCTCTCTCGCTGTTTTCCTTTTCTCTTCCTTACCCTATACCCTCCAGCCTTTTCTTTGTCTCCTCTCACACCTTGGCCTCAACTCAAATCTTCACTGCAAAACATCTTTTTAGCGAGCTTCACTATGAAGGCTTACAGAAAGTATTATTCTGTACCAGGTTGTGAATGAAGGCCAATTCTGCTGGAGGGACGTCTCACAGGACGCTGCACCATAAACATAAGATGATATTATAGAATATTGAAGCCTCCACCTCGTCCATTGGCATCTAGCGGTGAAGTTACAGATGGCAACTAACTGAACACCGCTCGCGCCTGTATCTGGTGACCTGGGAATGAAGATGCGCTGCTTTTGTAGATTTAAAAAAAAAATGTTTTGGAGAAGTTTGTTTAATTCAGTTGATAGATCTCTGTTTTTGTGTTTTTGTTTGTGCTGCACTCAGTGGTTGGAAGTAGGCCTGGCTCAGTGGGCCAGTCTGATGAAATACTGCAGGTTAGCTGAGGTTTTTACTGTTAAACTCTTTTAACAGTTAAACACACACACTTGTTTTTTTAAACTCAAACTTTGCTCATTGCATTAATCAATATATAGGTTATGGATTAAAAACAGGTTTCACAGGGGTTTAAAGTAAAACGAAACATAGTAGAAAGAGGAGAGATTTGGGAATAGAAAAGATACACACACACAAAAAAGGAACTCAAAACCAGGATGTGATACAATCCTTCTTCCTCCAGGCTACCACCTTGACATTCCTCATTTTGACCGAAAACGGTTTGTTTGAACAACAACAACAACAAAAGTTGTGCTCTCTTGAAAAAAAATAAGAGTCGTTTGATCATTTTACCCTGCTGCCAATTCTTCCTGGCAAACTTTTGAAACAAGAAAGATTTGTATCGAGCAAGTGAATCGATTTCACCCAGGTTCCTTTCTCTCAACAACAACAGCACATTCACCTCTCTGTTCTGCCTCTCCTCACAAACGAAACCAATCAACATACAATACAAATGCCTTTCTGGGCTTTCTTTTCTCTAATCCATATTTATGTAGGCCTGATTCATACAAAGGGACTCGGCAATTTAAAGTCAAAAAGTCACTTGAATAGACTCATTCTTTATTTATATGCTCGCAGGTTTGCTCTGGTTTTACCGGGCTTTTGCTTTTTGCCTCTGACTGTTCTGCCCTGCTTTTCAGCCCACTACAGTTGGCAGAACTGCATGTGAATAAGGTAAAAAATCAGGCATAGTGCGACTGCCCGTGGTGGAAAAGGGCAAAAGAAAGCAGCGAGTGACACAAACACTTCCTCCCACGCACTTTGACAGTGGAAGGTGGCTACTTATCTCCCACCTCCAACACTCTTTTGCCTCAAAGCCTTTTCCATTCTCCTCAGTTCTGACGTTTTAGCTCTTTCACAATAAAAGCTCCTACCTTTGCCTTTCAGTTCCTGCCAGTTTGAATCCATTTACCTCTATTTCTTTCTACCCCCCCCATTCTGTCCTCCTCAGCACATGTTAGACCTCCACGCCCCCTCGACGTTCCTCCTGGTGTGTCTCTCTACTCCCTTGGCTGTTAGCTCCACGCTGAGTGGGCTGGCAGGAGAGAAGAGGCAGCCAGCAGGAGGCGGGCCGGGCCTGCCAGAGTGTTTTGCCACCCTGCCGAGCCACTGGCAATGGCGTCGGGTCCTCTGTTATAGCTGAGTGTTGATATACTGTTCAGAGAGGACAATGGGGAGGAGGGACAAGGGGGTCAGGGGCGTCCCCTGCGTGGATCCAGTCACCGCTGGGTCACAGAGTCACTCACCATATGGACAGCATGGATTGTGTTGTGTTCACTGCCATGCGAACAACAAACAGACTTCACAAGCGCTCATTTCAAGCCCCCCGCTGCATTTCTGACCTGCCTCCAGACACACAAACACAAATACAGCACATAGCAATAGTAAGTGGCATCTGTACCTGTGCAGATGAAGAACTTGGACTCTCCGACACTTAACTCCACTTTGTTCAAGGATATGGACACCTGCAGGGCGGCTGTAATGGAGAACAAACAGAGGGACAGAGAAAGAAAGAAAGAAAGAAAGAAAGAGAGGAGAAATGGATTAGTTGTTACAGCCTTAAGAAATTGAAAACACAAAGGATTCTGGTCATTTACTGACTGGAGAGACATAACAATGCAAAATTGTTTGAGAAAAAAATCTGCTTCTTTAGCATTGTGGCTCAGTCTCTTCTTTGTGCCAGATTTCTATATCCGAGGACCTTTTCCTATTGTGTGTCACCATTTACTGCATTTACAAGAAAGGCAGGGTGTGGCTTACATACAGAAATCCTCCTATATAAATAAGAAGCTTCTTAGAAAAAACATTGTCATTGTCCCTGTTGAAAGGAACTATTAATATATTTTCATCCAAACTTTAACTGCTTTCAACATTTCTGTTCAACAGAACAAGTAAGCTATTTCTCCACACAAAGCTCTGCGATAGATTTGCTTGATACCTCCTATTAGGCACAAGGCTGTTTGTGACAAGCTTGTCAGTTTCACAATGAATGGGTCCCTTTCAGCCTGAGGTAATGCTCTTTGCAGTTATCACTCTTGACAATAGTATATGCACTGAACAACGGTGGGATGGGAATTTAAGAAGATGAGCAATTGCAGAGATCAGTAAATAACTCTGTAGTGCTGGTATTTTCCTCCACTGATAAAAAACTTGTCATCCAAGGTTCTTTACATCCTCAATAACAACTCAAGAGCCTTCCACACTGCAGTACAGAAAAAAAGCAGAACAGAAAAGTTGCTTGGAGACATCCGTTCAGCTTAATGACTGAATGAATGAATGAATAAAAGTGGACAGAACCCTTGCAGTCGATGTCAGTGGCACAAAATTTGCAGAGTCACGCTACAATCAAAGGGCATTTGTCTGTTCTGGTCTATTGTAAGTTCGACAATAACAGCACACAATGGGGGCTCTGGGGAAAGTTTTGTAAGGTGTGAAGCGAAAGGTGGTTAGCTGAATAAGAGTGTGGCACAAACTCGGCTGACATGAATTTGTCAAACGGGAGAAAGAGAAAGAAAGGCAGGAGAAGAGTTGTAGCTGCGAAGAGAATCAGACAAAGAATGACAGCACGGCAAGATGGAGCTGAGAATGTGTCTAGATGTCTAATGTGATGAGTAATGATTGGCAACACCGGGGAGAGGGTCATTTTTAGGCCAGAGCCTTTCGATGCAGCGGTAGTCTCGCTACAGCACCGAGCCGAGCAAGATATTTGATGAGCCTGTCATATCTGAGCTCCTCATTCTTCACCCTCAGAGCTGAAAGTCTAGTTAGGCTCAAACTCTAACCACACACACACACATATTCAGACACACACGCTGTATAACACTCCAATGGGTGTTAATTCTCTCTACAACGCTGGAAACTTAACAGTGTAGCTCAGGGCGCTTGTCAATAAATGAGCAAATGATGAAATGATTATCTGCACTTTCTCAGGGGAAGATGGCTGCAGCCAACAGCAGCCTCACGCTGAAGCTGCTCTCCAGCAGTTATCACTGGGAGCCATCTGTCATGAAGCCAGGCTGCCTATGGATGGCAGTAGAGGGGCACTGCTACCTTCGCCGGAGGATGCTACATGATGAGGTTGAGGAGCTGCCTTGTCAATGCATTTGATCATTTTCTGCTGTGTAATCCGAGTGTTAGAGCACTCAGCAGACAATAGCAGAGGCTGTAGGGAATCACACACACAAGCAATGGATGGAGAACTAGTACGCTCATATATGTTACATTTATGGCATCAGGCGCTACATATTTGTCCACACACATTTAAAAACACAATGAAATTTAAGTCTTTGCACATGTGCACTTATATGAAATGACATGTGGCTGTACCACTTGTACACGGTATCTGTACAGCGTCATGGTTTTGTACGTAGTGCATCAATTAATATGATTTCCGCTAATTAAGATGAAGATGAATGTTTTATCTAAAGTTTTCATACCTTCTAAGGTGTTCCTGGGGCCGCTTCACTAACATCCGCAATTAGTGAGCGCCTCCTCAACGTACTCTGTGCATTGCATTGTGGGAGACTAAAGCCCATCAACAGCACAATGAAAAATCGAATGTAAACACACTATACACTCAAAACGTGCTTAGAATTAGTACAACTGATACTGTCTATAAATACACACACACACACACAGTGTTTCAAATGAATGCAAATACTGTTCTGGCGTTGATTAATCATGTCTATTTAACCTGGTGCCCCTTCTACACTCCTTGCCTCTGACTTAAGGCAGATTCCAATCAGCGCTTCAAGTAGTTTAACGGTTTTCAATTATTAATTGATCCCGGTCTGTTCATGCTGTATGTGATTGATCACGTAATAAGTTGCTCACAAAACCCAGCAGGCGAAAGAAAAATGACTTTTTTTGTGCCGCCAGAGTCACTGGTGTGTATCATATAATTAAGTTCAACCTGGAAAATATAACCGTTCAGTTGGCATTTTTAAGCTGAAACACACAACAGTCCCTACAGCGAATATACATTGACATTTTAATAAGAATGCTGACTGGATTTGAAATATGACACGGGAGGATTTGTTTATTCAACACAGTCTCGCCTGGTGGGGACACAAAGAGACATGCTAATTATATCAATTTTCTGAAATAGAATGTTTTCGACTGCACTCACCTGCTTATTACAGCGGCTTGGGTCAATATGTTATGAGCCTGGTAGCAATTATCAGCTCCAATTATTAGCTTCTTTGAGAAGTGTTTTGCAGACGAGCAAAATAAGACAAGAGACAAATCCATTGATTGCCATTTGTAATGTGTCTGATATGGTCGATACAACACATGACTCGCCAGCTCGACTAACGACACTGAGACTAGAATAATTCCAGCATCCGTTATGAAATCTCAACTCGAAGAAAAGTTAGAGAGGCAGGACTTTCAGCAGAAAGTTGGAAAGAAAGAAAAACAGACCCACTTCTTACAAAACTGTCTCCAAGATATTAAAGGCTGCTGGCTCATAATTTAAAAGTTAAATGAGGACAAGACAGAGATTCTACTCTCTGGCCCCCCACAGCACATCAGACCCGTACGAAGCCAAGAGCCTGGTTGTTATATCTGATGGCAATCTAAGTTTTAACAGACAGGAAAATTCCCCTGTCAGGTCCAACTCAGAACCATCTCCAAAATAAGGCTTTATGAAGCATTTTAGCATCTTTCAGCTCATTGTTTTGCTCATTGTTTTGCTCATTGTTTTGCTCTCTGTTTTGCTCTCAGGTCCACAACCTCTGGTTCACTCTCACTGCTCCCATCAGCACCGTCTTCAGGTAGCTGATAAACCAACTACAGCCTACCTACCCAGAACTGGAGAAAAGCTTTTATTTCTAGCATGGTTGACTACTGCAGTGGTCTTTTAACAGGGCTCCCCCAAAAGACGACCAAAAAGCTTTAGGATATTCAAACTACTACTATTACAAGATATGGGAAAAAGCATTACATATTGGGTTCAGGTTGTGCGGGTGTTATTACACAGTGAAGTGAAAGGTTGCCAGAAACATGACGTTGCTCCCTGTCTGCTGGATGTGTAAATAAGCAACTGTTTGCTATCACATTCACTGTGTCACCTTAATACTGTGATTTAGGGGCAATGTTGTGTTTACAGATTGTTGCACTGCCCACATGTGGCTGAAAAAAATAAATACAATCAATGAAGGAAGGTTTAAGTAGTGGCCAGCACTCTGTCCAGGGAAAGATGGACTAATGGCTATTAGATCTTCCATTTGATATCCCTTGCTGTCTATTTGCAAAAACAATTTACTGTTATAAAGTCACATCACCGTTTTAAGTTGCCTCATGCTGCTTTCATTATGTAAAACTTGAAACGTCTTGTAAGCAAGCCAAATCATTATATTCCTCAAACAGAGGTCATTAAAGTCAGTAGCGGGGAAGATGCTAACTGAGCTGTTGACATGATTCAGCGACACCCAGTGAAACAGTAAAAGCCAAACTTGCCAGCAGCTAAGTCAGTGTGGCTAGACCAGACTAAAGGGAGGCTAAACGCACCGTTGCATTTAGCAGCTCGGGCTAAATTCAATGTTTGAATGACAGAGTGGAGAGTGTCCAATCAGCTGGCAGAGAGAGACGGATGTGATTCTGTAATCCTGTTCTCCATAAAAAGCCCCATTAAAGCCATGGCCAAATAAAATGCACCACAGAGAACGTGCCTTTGTGTGTTTGTACATGTGAGAGCGTGTGGGTGTGTGTGTGTACTGTATGTCTTTATTTCTGTGCGTGTGGGAGGGTGTGTGGGTTTGCTTGTGTGTGTGAGTGTGTGTGTGTGTGTTTGTGTGGAACTGTATTAAGCACACAGAGCAGATAGGCCCTTAGGCGAAAAATGCTCTGCTTTAATTGTCTGTGATTTTGTGGAGGAGTTGAAGGGAATTCTTCCCTTGTACCACAGAGACAGAGAGAGAGTGAGACAAAGACAAGAGGTAAAAGAGTGGGTAGAGCAAGAGCAAAAGAAGGAAGGAGATAAAATACTAATTACTGTACTATGGTTTGTATTCACACACACCTGTGTGTCTTATGCATTCCTTCAAAGGTGTTAGCAAAGGCAGAAAAAATAATTTCCTGTATGGAATTAGCTCCAAAAACATCAGTCAGCATCTTTAAAGCTGTAAAGTCTTTTAGGTGAACAGTAGTGTGAGATAATGAGGGATAGTGCAGATGTCAGTGATTCCAGTTTAGTATCAGTATTAGAACCTGGGTCTGTAGTTTGTATTTCTATTGGTTATGTTGACAATGTTTTACTGTATGCAGCCTAAAATTAAAAACATGTCTTATAGATATTTGTAGCATATATGTCACTTTCTTTCAATAAAACATCTATTTTGGGGGGGAGGTGCACGATAGCTCACTTGTGGGCCCCATGTTGGCTGAGTCCTTACCGCAGGGGCAGTGCTCCAGTTCCAACCTGCCGCCCTTTGCTGCATGTCGTCCCCCCCTGTACCTTCTTTCTATTCAACCTTG